TGTGTGTGTGTGTGTGTGTGTGTGTGTGTGTGTGTGTGTGTGTGTGTTTGAGACTTTGTGCCTGTGCATGTGCTGAAATTTTTTCAACAAAGCCACACTTTGCATTCCTCCAACTTCTTCTTTCCTTGTTCTTCCTTGTTCTTGCCGCGCATGAAACCTTTCCCGTTCGTGTCCCTATGAATTCCGAAGTCTATTTTTGAAGTCGTAAACCACTTCGCCCTCAGGCACGACCTTTCGGGCCTCCTTAAACATGTGTGTGTATTTGTGTGTGTGTGTGTGTGTGAGAGACTGTGCGCACGCGTGTAAACGTGTCAGCCTGGAAAGGTAAGGAGGCACAGCATGATGACACAGTTAAATGTAGCATGTCACCACATTCATGGCAGATTATCAGGCATACTTTTAGAGCCAGCGTCTTCCGGCAAATGCAAAATAGAAAAACAGGAAAAAAAACAAGGACGCTTCACCCTGAGGGTTAATGCAATAATAGGAACTGTATGACAGCGAAACCAAATTAGGACGCCACATCAGGACTGGTTGTATAATATTAGAAGCAGCTGTAGCAGCAGACTGCAAGACAGGTGATTCTTTTCCTGGTAAAGCATGTTGTTCTATTTTTGTTGCATCGAATCTCCAAAGCAAAGTCTGAGAAAGGTCTAAGAAAGATATGTATGTAAATATAATAAATATATATTATCTATAAAACCAAAGTGAGAAATCCATTTTTATTAAGGTCAGATTCCTTAACCCTCTAACTCTTGCCCCTTACTCCTAACTATAACGTTACCAGGCCCTTTATTTGAGTGTTTTTGATATGAAAGTTAGATATTCACGGTTGGAAATTCATTTTCATGGTCCCAGTCTATGACCCAGCTTTCGTGTTTTGACTTTTGATTCAGGTTTATTTAATATTCTGTTCCTAGTATTTCATTATTATAGTTGTGATCTCTGCTTGTAGCCTGAGGTCTTAGTTTGTTATCTAGGCTTTAGGTTTTCTGTTATCATTCCTCTCTGTGTTCCCCGTCCTCTTGTGTCTAGTTTCCTGTGTTGTTGTAGCGCCCTGTGATGTTTGTCTCTCTCTCTTTCTTTTCCCTTGCTCTCTCACTCTCTGTCTTTAGGTCATGTCTGTCATGTGATTCTTATGTTCTAGTTTGGCTGTTGCTTGCTTCCATGTCTTTTTATCCCCTGTAGTGTAAAGCTCAAATGTCCTTGTCCAAGTCTCAGTGCTCTTGTCACTTCCTGTTTTATTCTGATAGTCACTTGTCTTGTGTGCAAAATGTTCAGTTTTGCTTTGCCTATCTCATCAGCAGTGTTGGTCGAGTTACTTGAAAAAAGTAATCAGTAACTGATTACTGATTACTTCCCGAAAAAAGTAATCCTGTTACTTTACTGATTACTTATTTTCAAAAGTAATTAGTGACTTAGTTACTTAGTTGCTTTTTAAAACATGATTTACACCCTAAATAGGTGATAAAGCATAGATCTTTCAGCCCAATTCTACTTTTTCTGCATAATCCATCATATAAAATGCAACCAAATGAAAAAGTCTCTTTTTAAAACTTGTTTTATTAGTTTTAATCTTTTAACTTTATGCATCAAGCAAACATTAAATTATATGCAACATTCTCTGACTGGAAGAAATTTGTTTAACATTTAAACCTATTTTCTGCACATTCAAGCACATAAAATAAAATTGTTTTTGTCTTTCAAATAGATGCAAGTGAAACACAGCAGAAAATAAATAAAATCAAAGACTCAGCGGTCCTGTTGCTCTATTTTCACCTTTATAGCAGGAGTGGGGCAGGCGGAGGTTTGCCCTGGTGCAGGTGTGTTGCAGCGGTCAGTGGAAGGATACGGCAGTTTCTCTGTGAATTTCACATTCCAGTGGCAGCGCACTCGGTGCTTGCTCGGGTTTAGGGTTTAGGGTTTTTTTCACTGTAAAAAGAAGTTTTCTTCCCACGCAGTGACAGCGGACGCTAATGTTTTTGTCACTTTTTACAGAATCAAACTCAAAGTAAGGTCAGTACTTCCACGCTTTAAACGCTGCACGCTCATACTCTCTCCCGCACTCGTTATATTATCCATTTTTGATCTGCACACAGCTTTTGCCACAAACGTCGCACTTGCTTACGTCATTGTCATGAGACACTCAGTAACGCAGCGTGCTTACGGGAAAGTAACAGTAATCTAATTACCTTTTCCGCAATTGTAATTCCTTACTTTACTTGTTACTTGAAAAAAGTAATCGGATTACAGTAAGTAATGCGTAACGCTTACTTGTAACGCGTTACTGCCCATCTCAGCTCATCAGTTAGATTATGTTCAGCTGTGTTCCCACCTGTGGTCCGCTCACACGTTTGCCCTTGTTTGTGTAAATAATGTCTGCATCTCCCTCTGTTTGTTGTCTGGATTTGTAGTATATTCCCAGTTTTAGTTTTGTAATCTGTAATTCCAGCAATAAAGCTGTGTTTTGAGTTCAGTTCCGTCTCCGAGAGTCCTGCATTTTGGGTCCTTTCCTGCCTGCTTCCCACAGCGTAACGGCAGATATAGCCTCCATGCCCGTATAGTGAAGCCAACATTGGCTTTGATTGCAAAAAGACCTCTGCTCACGTAGAAGCAGAGGCCTGCAGTACAATGACTCTCTCCTCCTGAGACCTCAGTGAACAATTTCCTTGCCAGTTTATGGGTTCAGTAATTCCACTAAAAGGAATGCCTTTTAGTGTCAGAGATCATAAGCTAATGAGGCTGCCACCAAATAGTGAATAATGAAATAATGACATGGAAAAATATTTATTAAGGCTGCAGTTCAAGACTGAGATGATTACTCTGCTGTCTATCAGTGATAAAATAATAATAATATTTACATATACAAAGATTTGGAAAAGTAATGTAAATGATGATGATGATGATGAGGACAGTTTGCTGCCAAAGCTAATTGAAAGCCTGCTATATTTTAACATCACAGAAAATTGCCATGATAATAACTCTGTGTGATTGCAAAGCAGACTTTAGCCCTGAAAAGTAATCATTAAAACCGTCAAGTTACACATATTTGAAACTTCATCTGTGGTTTCTCTCTCCTAATTAGCTTTAAAGATGTGATTTTCATGTTAAATCCGGCTCCTCGCTTCTACTAACACTGTAACTGACTTGGATTTGTCTCCAGGTGACTATACATTTCCCTGAGAAAACGAGAGAGCGAAGCGAAGGTAAAATGACATGACAAACTGGGTCATGTGAGAGAGGAGCTCTGTTTTGTGTGGTTGGTAAACCGTGAGTGCGGACACCCTCCCAGACTTACTCCTGATGGGCATGATGAGCTGGGGGATGACAGGCAGGATCTTGGGGCCTCCGCGGTCCAGCATGTCATGGATTCCCTGGCGGGCGAAGAGCTCATACGGAAAAGCAGTCTCAGTTAAACCATCAAAGAACAGTGGCAGGTAGTGGTGGTAGTCCAGTGTCTCGACGTCCACCTGAGGACAGAAACACACATTTATATCACAGGTAACATTAGCTCCCTATTAATCTTACTATTAAACTTACTAAAAATACTTAATCTTAAGCTTGTCTCGTTAAAGCTTTGGGTGTGTAACAGAAGGTTATAAATGTAAAAGCTCAGATTTTGAAATTTAAGTCAATTTTAAGTCAAGACTTTAAATAAGCCACTCCATGCCTGCTTCATGCCCTGGGGGACAGGGCTATGGCTCTCTACATCCTCTTG